TCTGCTGGTGCTCTTCAACCTTGTCCATTTCAGCTTCCACCAATTTACCTAAATGCGTGCCTGCAGGCAACTTAAGTTCTTGGGGAGTTGGGTTTAAGATTCGAACAGGTATATGCTCATTCATATTTACTAGTACAGAACCAATATGTGCACCATTTTTTAAGGATGCAGGATCCAGTACCCCAACAAGGTGTGCATCAGGTTTGTTGACATATCCATTAAGTACTGTCTCGCTCAGTGGGGGAAGTATGGTGTCAGTATCTACGCTAACTCTTGTGACATGTATCTCACTTGCAGACTCCATGTTTCCAAGCACAAGCTCTCCTCCAACCATTAGATCACCCTGTCTTGTTAAAACAATAGCATCAAGGGCCATTAGCAGGTCAATTCCAATTAGTACCTCATCATGTATGGGCGCAATGCAGACTTTCCAATCAACTGAAGACTTCCCCAAATCAACTCGCACTGTAACATCAGTAACTGCTGCCATCTTGTTGCCACTTTCTGCATTTAAAAGTGTTGTTGTTTTCTTACCGCCAGAATACACTAAACTCCTACTCCTCACAAAGTCTTCTGATAGCACAGTTACTTCTGCCCCAGTATCAATAATTGCATGAGTTTCTTCCCCATTTATTTGCACTGGTACTCTTATTGTTTTCCCACTCTTGGTTCCAATCTTGAATAATTTTTGCTGAGTCTCCTGTTCATTAAAGTGATCATCCTTCTTAGGAGACTGATATGGTGAATTCAAAGTTGGGCAGTTCTTTTGGAAATGGTTCAATTCCCCACACTTGAAACAACCTCTTTTGGGGGATGGTGACCGGCGGGATCTCATTTCTGTTGTTTTCCGCTCTATCAACTCCTTTAATTCCAAAATCGCATCCTTTAATGACTTTTCCTTTGTGTCCATTGAGGAGAGTGATCGCAAGTTTTCGTAAGCATTCCCTTCTGCGTTTCCAATGTTATGGGAATCCTCTTGCCAAGAGACTCTCCTTGAATGTCGCTGAAATTGGACATTTTCACGGCCAATTGTTGCCCTGAAGTTGTGCTGTAACTGTATAACATAATCTAATGCCTCAGATATAGTTTTCGGCATTTTGTTTAGGGCTTCATACCCAATTTTAGAATTTTTGTACCCTTTCAGGAAGGATTCTGCAGCAATTTCTTCTTGGAGCTCAATGTTCACAGAGGGAAATGCTTGTGAAACTAAGCGCCGGACATGCTCTGCGAATTCATCGTCAGACTCTCCCCTTTGTCGCACTTCTTCTAATCTTTTCCTTGCTGTAGCAGGTGGATCTTTTCTATTGAAGCGATCTGACATAAGTTTAAGTAGTTTAGGGAAGTCGCTCTGTACAGAACTCGGTAAGCTGCATAGATATTTTGAAGCCTGCCCCCTCAGACATTCAATGAATCGGTCTAGTTGTTCTTCTGTTGTCCATGCGTAGCGTTGCGCAGCCCTTTTGAAGGGTAGGAGAAATCCTTCCCAATCGCCACTTCCATCAAATATTGGCAACTTCTGTCTTGGCATGTACTCTTGCTTGAAACTTGAAGCTCCCAGGCCTCGACAAGATTCAAAATTGTTAATTGTGTCTAAAAGTGGCTGAAATGGTACGTTGCTTGCTCCTGAAAGAGGAGTTGATGTAGGTTGTCTATTACTTGCACTGTTGCTACCTAAGCCATGTAGTGTGTGCGTGTTTCTCTGCATGACACGTCCTGATGGTAATGAGTCATTTCCATTCATGTTGTTTGGCCTGTGGGGTGTTGAAAACCCAAGCCAATCTTCATCACTTTGTGGTCGCTTTTCCTCCTGATCATGCTGACATAGCCTGGGGCTGTCCCCTCGACTATGCAGCAACCCCGTCTTGTGGTCCTGTTGTGCATACACTTGCCTGGGGCTGTCCCCTCGACTGTGCAGCAATCCAGACATGTGGCCCTGTTGAGCATCGATTTGCCTGGGGCTGTCCCCTCGGCTAAGCGAGTGCTCCAAGACCTGTGTGATCCCTTGAGTCATGTCTAAGAAAATGCTTTCTTGTCTTTTCATCATTTCTTTATGATTTTCTATTGTTTCCCATAGAAGTTTCTCTTGTTTATTTATTACATCCATTTGTCTGTCTATGCTTCTTGACAAAAGTTGCTCTTGATTTCTCATCTTTTGCATTTGTGATTCAAAAGTTTTATCTTGCTTCCCCAACATCAAATTTGTTTCATGTATGTTTAAGGAAAGGTCGCCTAAGGTTCTCTCAACTTTTTCCAACACCCTGACAGTACCATTTTCTACAGACATTTTTAAACTAGCTTCTAACTTATGATCATTGTCATTGTCTGTTGTTAGTGTGTCATCGAGCAAATTGTCACCGGTAGACATAATTCTTGTTTTGTGATTACAGTGTCAGTAATTCTTGTGGGTCAACACTCAAGGTTAACAAATCTGGTGTTGTGTCAATCCAACACTCCTTAATTATGTCCAATTCTAATCGCCTTAGCCACTTTTCCGACAATTTACTATCAGGATGAATTCCGTCTCTTAAGAGATTAAAATTAAAAGATTGTCTTCCACGACCTCTGACCTTTACAATGTCAAGGTGAAATTGGAGGGTGTTACGGCCTAACGATTGATTTAGATCAAAAATTTTCTGGTTAAGGAGTGTTATTTCTTCAACTAGAAACTTATCTGTGGCTTCAAAATATTCAGGGTGGGGATGGCCTAAGTAAGAATTGTAAATTTTTGCCGAGTACACTGGAACTGTAAGGAATTTTATAGAGCCTTTATTGGTGATGACCAAATGTTTTAACCTATGAAATTGCTCCAATATGTGTGTACTCGCTTCGCCTACTGAGGTATATCGCAATTCAATTTGCCTTTGCCTGCGATTAGACCCCTTATGTATTTTTTTTGTAATATCACACACACCTAACCAAACATACACAACAAGTGGCCTGTTTCCCTTAGACAGTTTTTCTAACTCAGGTATTGCCCTATCAATTGCAGTGGCAGTAGGTGACCCTGGATAAGTGAGAAAATGCAGTGGAATATTATATGTGTTGTGATGTGTTTGAAGGCAGTTTCCCAAACTATCTGAAATCAACACAGGCAATTTGTCGATTGGGGAAGAGGGAACTTGAAGTGGGTTTTTGTCTAAAAATTTTGTGATGCTTGACAAACTCATAAATAGCAAAAATTACCCCTCTTGATCTATTGATAAATGTAATGATGATTTTGCAATGAATAACACAAATATTCAGAATGCGGATTCACACAATCTGATACAAAATTTAATAAATACGCAAACAGGCTATCTGGACTTGTCCCGCCAAAATCGTGCAATAACAGAGGAGCGGATTCACACTTCTTTGAAACGCACGTGGTCGAAATTAAACCCGACTGTAAAATATTCAATAAAACAAGTGCAAATTCACGCAAAAACTTAGCTGCATAAATTTACGACACTTCTGACACCAGTGTGGTGCTTCTGGTGTGGGTCCTAAGTGCACCACGAGTTCCGAGCTGCCAAGGAATCGAATAGACGTCCGATACTTTAGAAACTTTCATTAGAACCGACTTATGACGTATACAAAACATATGCACTCCGAACCCGACGCCGAGCCCGACATTAATACAAATTCACTACAGTATAAATACCAAAATTCGAGGAAATATAGATAATAAAACAGTATTAAGATTTTTAATTTCCATTCTAAAAATACAGAGTATTAATGTGTAAATTAATTACTTTTCCGCAGGGTTTTAAAAATGATAAACCGATTTTTAATTGCACATTTTTGGTTCTGCGCTGCTTTCTTACACCAGACAGTGAAATATATATATGCTAAAAATCCTATTTAAATGGGACGGAAATTTAAATTTGCAAAAGAAAAATAGATATACGAGGGTTGTCCTAAAATGTCGTAGACAATGTTAATAACTTTTTTAACACATGACCAATACAAACCAAATTTTGCATAGACATAATACATTCAATGTTCTTTAAAATTGTGAATTCTATAATATATATCTTTCATATTTATTATATTAGGACGATTTATATGAAGGCCGATATGGGCTGTCATCATACGACCAAAATTCGGAATAATTTACGCATATAACTATTACATGTACATTTGTTTTTATTTCTTTGGTATTATGTAAAAGATTGATCTAAAATTTCAATAACTGAAACCAGAATCAAAATCTTAATAATATGTCAAATTTTCATACACTGAGCACATTTGTAAATAGCTTTAGTAACAGACGACTGGTGGCATGATTTTCAAAGTGTTGTTCGAATTGAGATTGATGAAAATGACGTCGTTGAACGCGTACCCGGCGAACGGAAATGTAATAAATTGTTTTTAGTATGTTTTATATTCATCAGAGACAGGGGAAAGGAGTGGCGAAAGGACATTACACACTACATTTTAATAAAGTAAAGAAAAGTTGTTTTTTATAGTATGAGATTTAAAGAGTTTTTCCTCTATATCGAAAAAAAGTTATTGCATGTAAAGTTGAGTACTGATTCTTTAACACAGACATTTGGAAATGTTCTGGGTCATGAACGTCGTCAAGCAAGGTGTATTCTCCGTGTCTCAAATGTAGGGTGATCTTTCAACTAATTCAATTTTGACTAAAACTCTTGTTTCAAAAAACGGACAGTAGTGAATTTGAAATATTCCCTTAATCAAGAGTTGTTTTTCACTATAACAAATATTCATTTAGATGTTAATAGCCTCATGTGAAGCAGAAAAAGGGACCATGTCATTGTGAGAGACGTAAATTACGCTTGCTTTCGTAGGTGCGCCGATGTACACTTACACGTTTTCTTTATTTTTTCACAGTTTTCTCATTAAATGTGGTATCGTCATGAAACTTGAAATACATGATCATAAAATGTCACTCTTTGCTATGACAAGGAAAGAAATTTGATTTAGCAAAGAGAAAATAAAATATGTTCCCTGTCTATGATTTTATGGGACACCCCTCGTATTTTTAAGGAAAACATTACCTTTGCTTTTGGGATCTGTTGAGAAGAGGCTTGATATATTCCAACTAGTCTCTGGCACATCGTCTGTTGTCCATCCTATTTCTTCTTTTTCTTCCTTAGACAATTCATTCACGGTTTCCCAAAGCATCTCTACAAAAACCTCTAACAAATCAGAATTTTAAATATGTTCCGCATTACCTAAAACGAAACTTGAGTGTTGATTTTCATTGCTGCTGTAAATGTTAATGGATTGGAGGTTTTTATGGCTAGTTATCATCATGATTTGATTTGAAGGTACATTGTTTTTGCTCAATTTTTGCACTATATTTTTTCCAGTGAGTGTTGATATATCATTCTGTTGTTACTATTTTATAATTAAGCAATCCATAAAAACAACACTCTCCTGAATAACTGTGACCGGTCTTTGTTTACAATGTCTTGCTTCTGTTTTGTATTGTTTTATGGACTTATGATGATAATGTAGATAGTGTTGAAAATCTTTCCAGTCCAAAGTGTAACAACGTTAATGTAATAGGAAAATTTAACAATACACAGAGACGTACGCGTGGTCATGAGCATTTAATATTTTTTATCTTTCATTTTTTAACTTTATGTTAACTCTTAATTTAATTTAGTATTGATCAGTTATTGATTAATCCTTTATTTTTTACTACATACAAGTAAAAAACAAGCTTAATGTTTGTTTTACTTTATGATGCATACTGATGGAAATACTTCATGCTTGTTTGTAGTTTGATACTGTAAATGTATTAAGCTTTTTACGTCAAATCCTATTGTGACGTCAACAAACCCGCGATCTACCTTAACATTTAATGAAAGACAATCAAAAACAAGACAAGGAATAAATCCAAGAGATCTGATGTTTGTGTAGTCATACCCAAAATGTGGGCAAATACTTGCGCGCCAGATGGATGTTTAGTTGCTATTTACAAACTTTTTTCAGAAATAAGACCCAATGATTTTTTTAAAACCTGATGATCCATTTTATTTAGCTACGCATACTCAGCAACACGCAATGTCAGTCAAAGAGCAATGGTTTAAAAGACCTCCGGTTGGCGTCAAAAAATTAGCATCTTTAATGAAAAGAAAGGCAAATGCAGCTGATATTGGTGGAGACAAAAAAAACTCACTGGAAAAAATCTAGTGCAAAAATTAAGCAAAAACAATGTACCTTCAAATCAAATCATGCAGATAACTAGCCATAAAAACCTCCAATCTATTAACATTTACAGCAGCATCAATGAAAATCAACTTAAAAGTATATCTGGCATCCTTTCGAACTCCGCACCTCCTGTAAACAACCCCGGATCCGCCACATTCAATTGGACACAAAACAGCTGTACGAAATATCACAACATCAAACACTGGAAGTTATATGATTATTAATGTTTCAGGGGCATTCAAAACTTCTTGACTAGAGACATGCACGACGGAAAAAAAAATTGTAATCATATATGAATGTTCAAACAAAACACCACAGAAAAGGCAGCATGTTATCTTTGACAAGGAATCGGATGACTGAGCTGAAGTCAATAATTATTGTAAATGACTTACATCGTCAAATTTCACATTATTTGATAAATTTTAACAAATTTTTTATTCATGGATTTAAAAAAAATAAATGCTTTTTTTCTTTATTTTTGTACGAACTATTTCATACATCGTAATATGATATTATTTATTACGTTATTTGGTCAGGGGTAACCGAAAGGGAACTTTGAATTAGAAACAAAGACAAAATACACATTTATAGTGAAAAAAAATATGTGATAAAAAGGATCTCTTATGGTTTGTGCTTTTATCCAACACTTTGTGTTTTTTCTGTCCCCTCGCCAAGGCTCAGGGATAGAAAACACATAACGAGTTGGATAAAAATCACAAACCATGGGAGATCCTATATTTATCATTGAGTCTAATGCTGACTGACGTCATCATTTCCTAAGTTCTTTTGTTCTTTTCATACTAAATGTTAGTCCATTATTTATACACTGAATTGACGACGGATTTTTTTGCTATTTCCTGATAATGGCAGGGGAAGCGGCGGCCAGGGGATGCCCCTACCTCCATGACAACTGCTCCCACCTCCTCTGATGTTTTAAAGGTCTGTGTTTGCCTTGCTTCTATTTTGAATTGTTTTATGAACTTTGATTTTAATTTATATTCCTTATATCCATGTCCTCCATGTTTTTTTCTTAAATAAGGGTTCCTATATAAAAGTATTGTATGAAGGAAATGGAGATAACGTACAGTATTCCATCTCAAAGTCAATAAAACAATACAAACTAAGAGCAGATCAAACACGGACCCCCGAAACATCAGAGGTGGGATCAGATGCCACGGAGCATTTTTAATACTTGAAAAAAGAAATCCAACAAATTTCATGGACTTGAAAAAAGTAATTAGTAATTAATTACAAATATTTTGAAATGCTTATACAATCATCACAAAGTATCTCATTTACTGAAAAATGACGAAATAATCGAATGGAAAATTGAAATCAAGGTATTCAATCCCTGATAGCAAAAGAATCAAAGAAATTGAAGATGTGTTAGTGTTGAATACTCGGTTTATTCAGACATAATTCTCATTTATTACTATATATTAGCGAGTAAGGATTGAATGTATCCTAATTTAAATCCATGAGTTCAGGTAACTTCTCTTTAATTAAAATTAATTATTAAAATCAATTTTAAAATACTTATCTGGTAAAAAAGAAATGTTTTAATTTCTATTTTTAAAGTTTTAATGCATCTTTCGAGCAGAGTGTTTAATGATATTCCTTATGTTTGATCTTTTGCTTTAAAACTAAAAAAAAAACGCTTTTCCCCATAGACTTTAATGCAATCTTTGTTAATTAATTACTGCTTAGCTAATGATGTTTTTTTTTTAACTTTTCCTTGGGGAATCCTTTTAAGCTGTAAAATGCTTTAATATAATGTCACATGATAATATATTTGATAAATATTTAAGGGAAGAAAATTAGTCCAATTTGGAATTGAAATCTTTAATAGTCAAATTCAGAAAATTCTTCTAGTGATAGAAATATTCCGATAGTCAAATCAAAATATAATAAAGTGTCGTACGTTTTTGTTTTTTCTCTCTCTGTAAATCTCAAAATCGGTGATAAATATTTAATTTAACAAGCTATTAAATGCATGCACAATCAATCAATCTGAAAAAAAAATATTTTGGTCAAAAGCCTTTCTAATATAAACAAGAGAATAAAATGTTATTTTAAAACTTATTTTTACAGCTCAAGTATAGATGTCATTATTGTTATGTCAATCTAACACATCCGATAGTGCTTATATATATATATATATTTTTTTTTTTTTTATATATAATTTGAACAATAAGAACAGAAAAAAATATTATTTACACCTTTTCTGGAAAAACCTAGATATAATAAATTTTGTCGAAACCGCAGGATATTTTAGCTTTTGAAAGACACCGTTTTAAAATCATTTTACATTATTTATTTAATGATATGCCCCTGGTTAAAGAAATTTATTTATAAAGATTTAACTTTTTAAATGAAATTGTTTTCATATCATTTTACTAATTTTATAGATAGATTATCTACAACGATCTTGGACACAGGAACAGGTGCCCGTAGCTTATAATTGTCGTCATCACGATAAGAGATGTGTAATTTATCAGCTTTTCCAAAAATCCGCGCAATTAACATAGAATATACAATAAATATATACCAGATATATACACATTGCAGCTCATCGATACAGCAGGTAGGCCTTTCAACTAATTTTTCAAGTTGTACATATGGTAAAAAATCATTTCAGATATTGATTTATAGGTACATGGAATTATCAAAAAAGATAATAAATTAGGCACACCTTTAATCAAATAATTTTAAAGTTTAATTATTAATAGTTGACTACTTTGATATTGTGTTTTAAGGACAGACAACTCAGGTGCGTAAAACGACCAACTAAGTGCCGATTTATGACATCGTTTTTAGGAATGACATATAGGCTCCTTTTCCATTGGTATTGTTATGTACACAAAAGGATAACCTATTCCTTAAATTGTTTTTATACAAAAGTGTTGACCAAAAGAATGTGAATGTCTTCACTTTACCTGAAATAACAGGGTCAAATGAATGGGGAACAGATTATTCAACATTTAAGCTCTCATGGACGATTATTATGAAGAAGAAAATATAATGTCATGTTTTTTGTATACACACTTTTGCGCTTCCTATAAAAACATATACATATTTACAAGTAAATGCTATAATTAATTATCTTATTTGTGTTACTTAGCATGATGAAGAACGACCAGGTATAAAAATTGAATTAGGTTAGAATTAAACGGAAGGTAGACTTAAATTTTTATTTTAATTTAAAAATTTACTTATATGTAAATAAACGGTTTCCGCAACTGTATAGTAAATAAGTTTAACATTAGTGCTAAATTTTGACAGCAAAGAAACACTTGGGAAATGCTAAAAACTGACTTGTGGATAAACCGTTCTATACCTGGGACTTGCTCTAAGCAAGTTAAGCAACTTATTATCATTCATAACAGCGAACCCTAGCGGCACTTGAAAGACTGTTTTAATCCGTGTTTTAATTTTGTGTCAATATTAGAGGGATAGATAGGGGGTAATTTTATCGACCAATCAGAAGAGATACTTTTGTTTTGTCTTCATGTAATATGTTACACAGGGGGAGATTAACTTATGTGTTGTACAAATTTTCATTTTTTTTTCAAGAGTGATCTCCA